TCATATCCCTCTTTCTCTCTGTCTCCTTTCTTTCTCTCCCTTCCTCTCCGTGCCACAGCTGCCTCCTAATGTGGAGTACTTTCAGAAGCAGAGAGTGTTTTGGGTTTCAGGAGCTCTGTTTAAAAGAAAACAGTGCTCTTTTGTTGGTGGGGGGGACATGAGTTTGATTTTTTTCAAGCCAATGCCGAATCTCCTTAACTGAAAAAATAATCCTCTTCATGTGAAGATTCATCTATCAGAGCCATTTGCATAGAAACAGGAAAATCAGTCGCTGGGTGAGGAGGAGAGCAGAGTCTCGCCATATTATTTTTTATATATAAGTGCTTTATATTGGGGAGAGAAAAATAATTTTATTTCTCACCCTTTCTCTGATTAAGTAATGCACTGTGCCACTAACAATGGGGCTGTCTGTTTTTTCATGTTTGCAGCTCCAGATGTAGATAGAAATTTTCCTTGGCCTCCCATGTAGCTTATTCAGGGCCCCAGCCTTTCTGATCCCTGCTCCTTTGAAGCTTTTCTTCATTAGTAAACCCCTAACTCACTTTATGTGGGAACCACGAGCCTTTATTTTTTCCATCTTCGAATTTTTTTCAAAAACGAAAATGGCTTTATTATTTTTTTGCTTAAAAATATTACTAAAATAATGCAGAAAAAGACAAAAATGAAAATTATTTTGTCTTCTACTTATAGATACCTTCTGTTAATGTTTTGGTAATTAATTTTTTAGATTTTTTTCATTTCCCTTCTGTCTTTGTGTGTGTTTATCTGCCTATCCATCTCTGTCACTTGCTGTGTTGGTCAGTACTAAATCATGAACACCCCTTCATGTTATAAATATTTAACTGCATCATGATTTTAAATACCTGCATAGCAAACCATTAAAAAGGTGTACCTTAATCAACCTTCCTTTAGGGGTCTAGGTTATTAACTCAATGATATTTGTACTGATTCTTCAATTCTGAAATGAGTTAGTGATTATATCAAACAGTGAAAAATATGAAGATAACATATCTTTATATATAAGGAAAATTTTCTATTGCAGTTTGAATTATAAAATCCTGTGTTTTGTTTTATCCCTGGAGAAGTATCTTCATATGTTTTTGTTATTTGTTTAGGGGGATATCTTTAAAAATAAAGCTCAGCCCGGCCGGGCGTGGCTCAGCGGTTGAGCGTCGACCTAGGATCCAGGCGATCGGGGTTCGGTTCCCGGTCGGGCTGCGGGCTCGATCAATGACTCTCTCATCATTGATGTTTCTCTCTCTCTCCCCCTCTCCTGTTCTCTCTCTTAAATCAATAAAGATATATATATATAAAAAAAATAAAGCTCATAGATAATAACTGCAAATGTTAAGTATGGAGCTGCTTTCTGGCTGGAGGAGGTGGGTATGCTAAACATGAGGTTTTGTAAAGACCATAAAGTTGAAATCTGCTCTCTAAATAACCTCAGTCATTCCAGCAGAGTTTAGGAGGCATCTTAAAGGATCACCATTCATTTCATGTCTCTTTGGCTGATGGTAGTGTTTTCGTTTTGTTTTTTTGTTTTTTAACTGAGTATCCAGCACATTCATTCATTCATTCAACCAAACTGTGTTGATTATGTTCTTGGGCCAGGCATGAAGCTGAGGTGAATGCGGCAACCCAGAGATGAATGCGGCTTGTTTCATCCTCAGGGTTCTCGTGGTCCACAATGCGGGGAGAGCGAGTAGCCGAGTGCTGCTCAGGAAGCTGCAGACAGAATCCTTAAGAAAGGGGAATTCTGCTGGCTTCAGACCCAGCGTTCATCCTAGCCTGGGTGCTCTTTTGGACTCATCACTTACAATGTTTTTTTCCAAAGTCCCGAAACGTGTCTTAGGAGCCTCTTCGCTTTGGGTAGGTTGAAAGTCACTCTTGGACGTGCTAATTGGAGCGTGGAGAGGAACTCCAAAAGTGCTGGCTAAGGCTAGTCTTGTGAGTAAAGAATAGGCCCAGCCGAGTTCTGGACACCTTCCTGCTGCTTGAGTGTGATCTGCACTGGGAGGTGAATATGCACAGTCATCCAGGGAGGAAACAGTGCCTGCCTTCCCAGGTTGAAGTCACCTTCAGCCATCTGATTGCGTGCTGTGATGACTTCAGGATTTGCTTAGGAGATATTTTTATATAATCATTAAGGCAATATAATATACATTCACTCATAGGCCAAAAAGAACAAGAGATGATTTCTCACTGTCCAGAGGTTTTATCTAAAAGTTTCTCAAACTTGAACATGCAGAAAAACCACCTAGAGGTCTTGTTGAAATGCAGATTTGTGTTCCTTAGGTCTGGGACGGTGTGTGAGTTTCTGCATTTCCAAAATGCTTCCAGATCATGCCAACACCTCTGGTTCCTAGATGGCCCTTGGAGCAATCAGGACCTATGAAGTCTTCATGCCAATGAGGATTTTCCTTTTGTAACTTCATCTGTTTTTGTTTTGTTTTGTTTTGTTTTTTGCAGCTGCAGTGATGGTCCTCAATAGCATGAGTGTCAGCTGGAGTGCCCGGATCCAGATTTTCCTAACCTTTTGCAAGCTCATAGCAATTCTGATAATTATAGTCCCTGGAATTATGCAGCTAATTAAAGGTATGGACTGAAAAATTAATGCTCTTTAAAGTACGTATCTGCTTTTGGTCTCTCCGAACACTAACTTTCGCTGGTACTAGCAGAATCCCTTAATTAGTCTCTACTTGTGGAACTTAGACTCCATACTGTCATCTAATTGATATGAAAGGCTGCTACACTGAGGATGAGTTGGTATTTAGAGTTAAATGGCAACAAGAGCATTAAGACTAGGCCAAGCAACAAAATAAGACATTCAGTGAATTCTCTCTCTCAGTGTAAACTGTTTGAAGTGAAAAAAATAATAAAATCTGCTCTTAAACTACAGATACATATGTCCTCTTATTTTTACTTTAAAATAGTTCTATGATAGCAATGAGGATTAAGGTCTCTGGAACATAGGGGAAGATCCATAATTCTTTTCCTTTACGGATGCTATTCCTTTTACCTGGCGAATGGAATTTGGCAGGAAGGGAGTCAGATATGGGAGTAGCACTCCTCAAAACCAAATGTTACCTGACAAAAATTGTGGTGAAAAGTTAATTTTTATTGTTACATTATTTTTAATGTAAACTCTGCATTTCTACAGAAATGTTAATACCGTTTTCTGGGAGTACTTGCCTTATAGAGTAGACTGTCTAGTAAGAAACATGAGGTGGTTGAGGGGGTGATGTCATTTAGAGTTTCAGTTGTTTTAGGGAAGGAGGCACACGCAATAGCTGGGCTTCAGTGGAAACTGCTGTAAAAGAAGCAGGCCCAGGTGGGGTATTTAATTAGCAATGGGCATGGTAGTAGGAAATATATAAGAAAGTGAGATGAAATTGTAAAGGAGAGACCTATAACTTGGACATGTTAAATACTTAATGTTTACGTGGACATTGTCTGTTCCAAGAAAGGAAATTTAGTGTGAAATTTAATGAAGTTGCAGAAGAATTACACAAGGCAAAAGGAAATGCCAAAATTCAGCAAAATTCAGCATCAAACGATAACAAATGATGAAAGATCCATCCCTCTGGAGTTGGAGAAAGGGAGTTGCTGGTGTCCATTTTAGAAGCCCAGTGGGAATTCTTAGAGTTTTCCTGGCTAAATGTTTGCATCCAATCCAGCAACATTGGCCAACTCAAAATAAACTCAATAAAGAGAAGAAGACATGAGCTGGCTCTCCTTCTTCACGTTGACCTCCACAGAGCTGGCACACTCATATTTTATCTGATCCATGAGAAATGTTGGAAAAATAATTTGTTTTGTTAGTGTTTTCTCTTTCTGGGCTAACTCTTTCGCCTTCTGTAAGGAGTTTTTCCATTTTTGGAAAGTGCAGAAGCTGAGTCATTGACCCTACTTGAGTTCTAGTTTAGTTTCCAAAAGATGACATATCATCCTTGAAAACTAGGATTTTTTTCTCTCTTTACCTTCTTCGGTATAATGTATAACCATAGTTTTTACCACTTGCTTATATGTGTGTGTGAGATGAGAAGAGGTTGTCCAGATGTTACTGTATTGTAAATTCCTTGAGAGCAGAACTCATCAGATATCTTTTGGATCTTTTTCGACACTTTACACTAGAATGATCCTTTAATTAAATCTTAGGATATCAGTGCTTAATGTAACCAGGCTTCCTCACATGTCTAATCTGAGAAATGCCCTGAGAGTATTACCACATTTAGAGCAAATTTTAACATTTTGGAGAGCATTTTGCAGGCCCAGGTGGGGTATTCCTATTAAACTTACCCTATTCCTATAAAATGGTGACTTACTTTTTGTCTAACTAGATCACATATTTTTCACATGAATTTGAAACTCCAGGGAGAAAAAAATGCCTTTACTAATACAGATAAAGCATTTATTTCTACTCCAACCAGATCCTGAAAATAGTTCTAGAGTCCGTATTTACTTACGAGGATTTATTAAACTTTCCTTTAAATATTATGATGTTTATCTTCCTGAGACCTCTGTTATACAGCCACAATATCCCTGAAGTTCAGAAATGCCTCTCTTCTGTAATGCTCTCAGAGTGGCAGTTTTCAGGATCTGTGCTTGGGACCTGATCTTCAAAAAGCCTCGTTCCTTTTGCTGATTACTCAGTGCTGCACTATTAGGAATATTGTCTCTTTAGGCCAAGGAGATCACAGATCACAATAAAAAAAAAGCAACAGGTGTTTTTATCTGAGTCCCAGCATTTATAGCTCCCTTTTATGAGGACACAGAGATGCTTTAGTAAAACAGGCATTTCTGAATTCACTGTATCATTTTTAAAAATGAGCTACATTCGGGAATTGGATGCTTCGAGGGGAAAAATCATTTAGTGTATAATTCAACATTCTCTACTTTTGGTCTCAAAACTCACACATATTATGTTGATATATGTGTTGTTGCTGGGCAACCCAGGCAGCAACTGAGAGATGAATGAAGAGAGGAGGTCTCATGTATCAGTCACCTCCTTTAATTTACTTATGTGAAGACCAATTCTGAAACAATGTCACACTTCCTATTTGGGTAATCTCATTTGCTATTTGCTTTGGGAAAGAGACTTTTTTAATGCTTAACTTTAGATATTGGCTGACTAAATACGAACTTTTGTTTTTTGGTAATTATCCAAAATATATACAAGAAAAGGGCCTATTCTGATTCACAAAGTAGAGAAAAATATGATCAACAAAAAGTGTTCAATCCACATGTTGATGCAAAATTTATTAAAATGAATCTATTTTAGAGTTTAGTATAATTCTTTTCAGTACTTCTGGAAGGAACCCATGCCATTTTCTAGAACAACATCAGTGAAATTTCTCTGTACGGAGCCCAACAGTAAATCTCTTTAACTTTGCACACCATATGGGCTCTGTCACAACTACCCTACCCTGCTGTTTTAGGGTGACATCGGCCATAGACTGATAGTGTCTACCATAATACCTAAATTAGTGGGCCTGGCTGCACTCCAATAAAACTTTATTTACCAAAGAAGCTGGGGGCGTGGAGCAGATATAGTTGTGAGGTTTTCCAGCCCCTGTTGGTGTCCAATGAACTGCAGGAAAAGCAGAAAGTTAAATGACGTGACAAGGTGATTTGGGGCTTTCTTGCCACTTCCTCCTGGAGAATAGACCCATGGACATTTCTTCCCAAGCTTTCTATTATCTTCATTTAAAAAAAATTCTATCATACTCCTATGCACTATGGGTTAGCGAAGATCCTTTAGTCTTCATTCATGGTCCAACTCTGTCAAGAGCAGGGGCACTCTCAAACAAGGGATTTTTTTTTAAAAAGCCTTTTTCCTCTTTGCTATGCTTTTATGAAAAGAGAAGTGTAAAGCAGTGTTAGCGGTGATCAACATACTTTTGGAGCTCCATCTCTAGCATGGGTACAGTGTTAACAGATAACATTGGCAATGAGCAGAGGGTAAGAAACCTAGACCCGAAACAGTATAGTTTGCATCCAACCTCCCCTCGCCCCCTCCTTGTGCTTATGAATAACAACCAATTCTTTGAAAAGTCTTCAAATCTTCCTCTTCTCATCGCAGGGCAAACACAACACTTTAAAGACGCCTTTTCAGGAAGAGATGCGAGTATTATGGGCCTGCCACTGGCTTTTTATTACGGGATGTACGCATATGCTGGCTGGTAAGTGGCCGTCTAGACGGTGCTTAGTCTGGTTCATTAACTCCTCCGGTACTTGGACTTGATTGCTAAGCGAAGGGCTGGGCAAATGTGAACGGTCATACTCCAGTGCGATGTACTCTACTTGAACCAAAGAAGGTGGCGTGGCTCCCTCTGTCAGGCCAATTCCTGTGTATGTGACCTCATGCAAACATAACTGAGGCTGCCAGTCAAGGTGACCCCTAGATTTAGCCGAATGTTACAAAAAACAAACAGATGCTGAGTCTTACAAACCAGCGCAAATCACTTATAAGTGTGGATTGGTAAGGATATAGCAGGAGCAGGAGGTATCGACGATTGTTCCTTTGCTTGTCAAAAGGCCCTTCAGCCTAAGCTTCTAGGGTTACAAATAGCGATTGGTTTTCTTCCACCTTCCCATGAGAAAGAAATAATTTAGATGTAGAAATAAGTAAGAGGCTCCTGGAGGTAAAATGGTAATCTAAAGGCAGGGAGGAGAAACCAATAATGAAATCAGTTGTACTAGATAACCTGTTACATTTTAAGGGACTTTACAGATTCCTTAAAATGTCCTCAATATTCGAAAACAAAATATGCCGCCAAGTTCATGAGAATCACAGTACCGTGGGAGTGCATTTCCTGAGGCATGTTCAGCTGTGATACCATTCTGGTTGAGGCATTAGAACTCTGTATTTATGTCTTGCTTTGTTCCAGAATTTGAATAGCAATAATTGTGGATAAGAGTGGAATTTTTTTCCTAATTAAATTTTATTGATCTAGGCCAGTGATTTTCAACCTTTTCATCTCACAGCACACATAAACTAATTACTAAAATTCTGCAGCACACCAAAAAATATACTTTTTGCTGATCTGACAAAAAAAATAGGTATAGTTTTGATTCATTCACATGGGACAGCTATTGTTGTGTTGGCTGTTGTCATTTTTTTTTTACTTGACAATCTAAGGGAAAAGAGGTCAGTGCCCCTGACGAAATAGTCAGGTATTGCATGTTTTAAAAATTCTTGAGGCACACCGGTTGAAAATCGCTGATCTACTAAGATTTAGGTGAAGTGGCTTTAGCTAGAAAGTCCACTATGTAGCAAAGTATTATTTAAACATCAAAATCATTATAGTCAATGATTTTGGGGTGATTAGTAGCAGTATTTCTTTTTTTGTTATTTATAGAGCTAATAGTTATATAGGTTTAGCTGTGAGAGTGTTCTATGAGTCTAAAAGTAGTATCAGGAAACTACACTTGTTCAAAATTATGTAAATGTACTTCAAACACAAATACAATTTCCTTTTGTTTCTTTAGTTTTTAAGATCTTACCTCCCAGCTAATGCATGGCATATAAAAATATATTTCAAAGTAAATGGAGTGTTTACCCTATTAATCTCATTGAGTTATGAACAGATAGCATTGGAGGAGAACTGGGAGAGTGCAGGAACTGAACTTAAAATTTTAACATGGCTTTTGAAGCAAAATGTGTTTGAAGGTTGTTAGAAGATTGTAGCTCTAAGGAGTCTAGCATAAAATATTTGTGTGTTACCGGAATATTTTTACAGCCATTGTATGTAAGCATTAGTCTCGGATCCCTCAGTGTTTTGAAGTCTTTTTCATTTTTTCCAAAGCACGATGTGGGTGCTGGGCAGAGAAAAGAACGCAGTTGTGATCACAGGGTTAGCAGCAGAATCAACTATTCTGTGGCTATTCAGCCTAGATCAGAGCTCTCGAGCCCTGGGGCATCAGCCAAGCTACTGGGAAGGTCACCAGGAGACACCAGAGCGAAGTGGGGAGGTGGCAGAAGCTTTCAGCTAGAGCCAAGTGTTGGGAGCCTGGCAATATTCAATCAAGAAAGTGGACTGTGGAGATAGTCAGAAGGGAGATTTGATTAATTCTATTGAATGAAGTTGCTTTTGCTTGTGAGTTTCATGCATCTGTTCCCACGGAATATTAAAATATTCTTCTACCTAACTCATGCCCCTGCTACCAGCACTGAATATTCAGGTCACCTTCTTTATCTGGAGCAAATCTCTACTTCTGTAGGCTGTTGAGGGCTGATAGATTTCTCTCTGAACAAAGACTCTTTTCATTTTGAATTATCTTATTACCTTAATAAGTAATAAGTAATATCAATAGCTTTATTAATATTGAACTCAAAACATTCCTCTTGTTAAAATGATTAAAAAAGACACTGTAGGTGATACAAACCACTGTGATTTAAAACTTCATAAAATGGGCAGTCTGCACTCTCCAGGGTCCACAGAGCCGCACAGTGGGGCGGAAGACAGGATGCTTTTATTGGATAAAGAACAGGCAACATGGAGATAAATACAGAGCCCAGATTTGACTTGGTTTTTGGGGATTGAACAGCTCCATATTGGACCTAAAAATTTATCTCAACACTATTTATAGGGCATATGGGGTTTATACAAACCTTTATTTATACTTTTACCCATATAATCCTCATGTGCACTCCCTATTTTATTTTTTTCCTTTTTATTTTATTTTATATATTTATTGATTTCAGAGAGAGGAAGGGAGAGGGAGAGAGAGAGAAACATCAATGGTGAGAGAGTCATTGATCGGCTGCCTCCTGCACGACCCGCCCTGGGGATCGAGCCCGCAACCTGGGCATGTGCCCTGACCCAGAATCAAACCTCAATCTTCTGGGTCCTAGGTCGATGCTCAACCACTGAACCACACCTGGCTGGGCGTCCACTCTCTATTTTAAAGAACAGGAAACTATTGATCTTCTTATGTTCTTGAGGATTCAATCATAGTACCAGAAATTAAGGCCAGGATTTTAAATGAAATGTCCTCTAATACATTGTAGGAGACGGATAAGTAACTATATTTCCATAACAGGCTGTTATGCTACCTGAATGCTGTTTTGTGGATAGGTGGAAATAGGCTGGTGGTTCATCTATGGCCATCAGTCTTAGAAAAAAAAATGAAGGAAGCTGTGTTTAGAAAAAATAGTCTGTTGGTCTGGAGTTCCAGAGGAAAAGTTAATATCTGGATATAAATGGAACAAGAGGGAGACTAAAAGAGTTCCCAGGGAGAGGCGAATTCACTCACTTTCCAAATGTGATCCTGCCTCTCTGACCTCTCTCTGACTTTCATGATATACTTACAAGGCTGTGTTGTGGGATTATAAATGGGACACTAAATGAGCCTTCACTCCCTCTGCTTCTGTTGTGACAGTGGTGTATGGAAAAAAAAGTGGGGGTTGGCGCCTTGCACAGAAGCAGGACAGAAGCAGCGACTGTCAGAACTTAACCACCTGGGGCCTAAGGAAAAGCAGCGAGACCCCGGCTGTCCTGGAGGCCCAGCTCTGTTCGCAGTTCGCCTCCCGCATGTTGAATAGGAAAAGAATGCGGCCAGACCTTGGCTGTGTATACAGGAGGGTTTTGGCTGTGAAGCCTGCAGAACCTTTTCAGAATGATAAAAGCTCCTTCACAGACACATGATTAGGGGGAAAGAAATCATTAGCCCAGCCAGGTCACAGAGTTGGGTCAGAACAACTTTAATATTCTTTGCCAATGTCTGTATTCAGAGAAATATGCCTGCCCGTTTCCCTTGTGGCCCAGGGGAGCTCAACCAACTTCAGTTCCATACCTGACCCAAAGCTAAATATTGGTTGGCAGGATTTTTTTTTTTTTAAGCTGTGTGATAGAAAATAGGTTTTCGGTCTCTTTTTTTCCTTCCTTTTAAATCCTATCCTCCGTGGATTTGGTCTTTCTAAAGCACCTGCTGGGATTATTTTGTACCATTGTGTCAAATCCAATGTAAAGAATAAGCTTCTTTTAAAAATAATTCCCATGGTTGGGTCCTGGAATGCACTGTCAGCACTGCGGCGCCTTTCAGGCACCATCGTGGAGAAGCTGGAACAATGGGCCTTGCGGCCGTTCTCTGGAGGCCTTGAGATGTAAAGCAGAGAGGATGCCCTGGACTCGCTGCTGGAGGCGAGCGGGCATAAAGCCGCGTTTCCCACGGGAGGCGAACGTTTGGACCCAAATCAGAAGTTTTCTTCTTCCCATCCCCACCCTGCCCCAACCCCCTTCCTTGTCTCTATTCTCTGGAGCCATGGCAAATATTGGAAATTGTGTTCTTTTTCATAAATATTTCCTTTCTTGCTTTAACATGGTTGGAAAAGATGTTTCTAAAGCAAGGAACTGGTTATTTTTGACATGAGGACCCTGGAAATATTTCTTAGTTTGTGTGCTTTTTTGGTTTTATTTTATATTGTTGCATTTTCTTCCCCTACCTCACGTTGCCTCGGGCTTATAACAAACACCTCACACCCCTCAGAGTGCATATTCCAGATGTACGTATTGATCGCCGCTTACCTTTGGGGTATAACTGCAACCTCTATTTTTAGAAACGTACACTCTGGTCATTAAAAAATATCTTTCGCTGCTAACTTTTTAGATCAACATTATCGATACTGTTTCCTCAGCCATTTACATGTTTCCACTTAAAACATATCTTTAAAATATTAGACACTTTAGCCCAGCCGGGCATGGCTCAGCGGTTAAGCGTCGACCTGGGATCCAGGCGATCAGGGTTCGATTCCCGGTCAGGGCACATGCCCGGGTTGCGGGCTGCAGCCGATCAATGACTCTCTCATCATTGATGTTTCTATCTCTCTCTCTCCCTGTCCTTTCCTGTGTCTGAGATCAATAAAGATATATTTAAAATATATATAATATATAAAATATTAGACACTTTAAACTTGTTAAAAGATAAATTGATAAAATGAACAATCTTAAGAGTGTATTGGAGCAAACCTCGATTCCGTTTGGGCAGCTTCCCATCTAGCATATAGAGAGGAGCTCCCAGGAGCTGCACAAAATGAGAGACTTCCAGAGGCAGAAGGAAGCGGGAACAAGAAAGTTTTACTAGACCAAAAAGCAGTTTGGTTATTGCAGGGTTGTTTTCCTGTCTCTCAGGCAGGGTGCTATTTGCAATCCTGTAGAACCTGAACATGTAATATGGGGTGCCCACAATGCTTCTGTCATGTGACAGATCCAGAAAAGTGTTCAGGACTTGGAAAATATTCCAACAGTTCTGCTCTCGCCTGGCCAGATGGCTCAGTTGGTTGAGCATCATCTTGTGCCCTGAAAGGTTGTGGGTTCGACTCCCAGCCGGGGTACATACCCAGGTTGTGGGTTTGATCTCGGGTCGGGCATGTACGGAAGGAAGGCAGCCGATGGATGCTTCTCTCACACACTGATTCTCTCTCTCTCACTCCTCTCTCTAAGCATGTCCTCAGGTGAGGATTTAAAAAAACAAAAAGTTGTGCTCTCTCGTTATCAACTTATGGTATAATGACTAACAGTGTGCCTATTTAGCTTCCTAAAGATACAAAAAAGAAAATCAGCAACTTCAGAGCCTTGTGACTTGAGGTTATTTGATGGGATGCATACAGACTGGACAAGAGTGAACTGAAAGGGAGAAGTGTGAACTGAGAATTTATTATCTTTTATGCCGTTTGGGTTCCCACTTGCCCTCTGTTTATGTCTAGAAAGCCGGTTCCCTGAAACTGAGCGATGCGGTTGTCATACTTCTGCTGTCCTGCTAGTTTTCATAGACTTGACACCGCTGCTAGAATCTGGATTCTCAGAAGCCAAAGGCCACATGTGCTTCGATTCCGCTCCCACTTCCCGCGCGGCACTCGGCGCTGCGGAAGGCTGCCCCGTTGCCCACAGCCCCCGCGTGTGCCCCGCGCAGGCTGGGAGGCCCTCACACCGCTGCACCAGGCTAAATGCTGAGCAGTTCTGAGGACTCGACTGGGCGGGCGCCTCCTCCAAGAACGCCTTCCCTGCCCTGCCCGCCTGGGGTAGGCGGCCCGGCTCCCACGGTGCCGGGTGCGAGCCCCAGCATTTCCACCTGCATTGTAGCACACTGTTTTAGGGACCATTTTATAAACCACGAGTTCCTTGAGGGCAGAGTCCGTGTATTTCCCACTTTCATTTCCCCAGTGACTGACACATGATAATCTCATCTGGTGCTGGGAAAGTGGGCATTCAAAAAATGGTAGAAAAGGGTTGGCAGTAAACATCCATCTGCCGTATGACCCAGCAATCTTACTCTGAGCATATAACCAAGAGAAATGAATGCATGGACATGTACATGCATACTTATGATATCCATATTCAGAATAGCTCTGAATTAGAAGTAATCCAAATGTATACCAACAGTAGACTGTCTAGTGTTGCATTCATATGATGAATAGCAGCAATGGGAAATAATCACTGCTACACATAACAATATGGTTGAGACTCGTAAGCACAAAGGCCAGTATAAAGCCAGACACAAAAGAATAAATATTATATAATTGTTATACAAGCAAATATCAGTCTGTTGTGATGAAACAATCAAAACTAATCCATGGTGATAAAAGAATAGTGGTTGCCTTTGCAGCTTTGCAGGAAAGTGCAGGAGATGATCTTACTGGAAAGGGCAATGAGGGAGCCTTCCAGGGAGCTAGAAATGTTTTATCTCTTGATCTTGTTGTTGGTTATATAGGTGTGTGTGTAAAAATGCATCATTATACATTAGGATGTGTGCACTTTACTGTTAGAATGTTATACCTCTATAAAAATGTTCTAAAAAATAACTCCATCAACGCAGTTTAATAGGGAAATGATTTGTGGGAGCTTTTGGTTGTGGAACATTTTCATCTTACTATAAGTGTTTATAAAGTTTTTATAACTTTCAGGTTGATTTTAAATATTTATGCAATATACAGATGATGTATTGTAGAATTGTATATTTGAAACCTATATCATTTTATTAGCTGATGTTACCCCAATAAATTCAATAAAAAATAAATAAAATAAATAAACTTTGAATTATAATCATAAAATGTATTAATTGCTTGTAATTTATTTGTATCTTTTTAGGTTTTATCTCAACTTTGTTACTGAAGAAGTAGAAAATCCTGAAAAGTAAGTAGCCATATTTACTCTGAAATATTTATGAGGAGTAAATGTAAGGTTATGTAGTTGAAACAATGGATCTAAAGAAATTTAGTGTGGGCTAATCAACTTTTTACCTATCATCATCGTCATTCTCTTAAGCAGTTAAAATTTATTTGATTTTATCATAAATTAGATGTCAAAAACTTTATTGTATCTTCTTCATTCAGCACTAAATTATTTAACCTGAAAGCATGAAAGAATAAAGTTATATTTCAGGTAACCTATTTCTAAAATAATATATACAACTTAGCATGGCCTTAGCTTCACACATTGATAATATCAGTGTTTCAATATATACAAATACTAAGAACAATGGTGTATTAATTCAGTGTTTTGTTTTGTTGTATTGCAAAGAAATTTTCTCACCCCAAAAAAGTGAGAATAGCACCTGCTTCGTTGGGTTGTGGAAATGAGTTAATATGTGTAAAAGATTTGGATTAGTGACTATCAGTTTTTATTGTTTACATAATTGTTTGGCTGTTGTTACTATTATTATATTCCTTTTTTAGGAACAAGGTAAATGTTATTCATGTAAGAGTGTTTTCTATATTTCAATATCCTAAGCTGTTCTCTTTCTTTAATGTTTTTGGTAGAAATGTGAGAAATCATTTCACACCATAGAAAACTGTTCTCTAAACTTCAGTACTAAAATTGACTATGCATTTTATGATCTCGCCTTTTCTGTGTACAGATTTCATTGACTCTTTATATTTAGAGAAAATAACCTTGCATTTTACAGGAGAAACATGAGCTATAGGAGTTAGATAATAATTTTAAAGTAACTATCAAAACTGATTAAACTAAGATTATTATCACTGGTTACATTGGGTGAAACGTTTTCATTTCTGGAGATCATGATTCTGCAAACTTCATTAAATATTTCTAGAAAACTTTTAATTTGATATTATGTTTTAAGGACTTAAACTAAGGAACTTCTCAGGAAAGATTAAATAAGAATCTCTGGATTTTTAGGTCAAGTTAATGAGTAACTGCTAAAACTTAAGTTGAAGAAAGACCCATCTGATACCTTTTTTCTGTCATACTAGATACTCAGGTATTTCGTTTTTGCCTGGAAGATTTTTTTGTAAAACTTAGCCAACACATTTATTTTCTCAAAATCAGAATATGAGAAATCCAGAAAATCCCCTTAATGGAAAGTAACGATTAAATTTGTACGATGTATTATTTATCAACCAAAGAAATTCAGGGTTTTGAGCAATTTATTCAATGTATTAATTTTAAAAACAACATTTCCCTGCAATATTGACAACCAGTCCAGGTCTTTTAAAAATAAACCTTATTTTTTTTAAACATAAAGAATACTTTGGGAAATATTTATGAACATAGAGGACAGATGGAAAAATTATGTAGGCCTCGTCCAGATGTGTAATTTGTATTATTTTGTAGGTCAACACAGCTCCAAAATACCTTTCATTACAAGGGAAAGTAATTATCATTTCATCTCCTTTGGGATGTGCCAAGATAAATGTGCTTCCCAGTCAGTGGCGGGCGCGTGTGTCCAGGTGTGCGGCAACGTGCAGCCTCCTGGCAGCTGGTGAAATGAATCATCAGCTGCAGCTACAACACCTTTCAGCATCCTGCTCCAGCTAGCAAGAAATTTTTCCTAAAATTGTGATCGCATAGAAAAAGTGGTAATTAATTTCTATCAGCGAAAATATGATTTAAACTATATAAAATGTAGAATAAGGCTTCGTGATCACAATCGACAACCCTTTATATATGATTTAATTTCAATGGAAATCTTTCAGATTACCTAACATTACTCTACAGAATAATTTCTGAACTTCTGTTATGAGCACGACTCGTGGAACAGTTCTGTAAGTGTTGTAGCAAGTGAGATATAAACTAGGAGATTAATAGAATCAGAATAATTAGTTTGCGACGTTTCTTCTGTTGTCTCACCTACTCTTAATAGTTTGCAAAACACTAATCCTAAAATTTGAGGCAAAATTCCTGCTATATGATTACATTTATAACATTAAAAAATGTTCCCATGATCTTTCTTATGATGTTTTCTTCTCTAAGAACAGCTTTGGCTCTATGGAAATAGCAATCCTTTAAGAGATACTTAACATTTTTATGTGAAAATGCAGTAATGTCTTTGACATTTTGTGATAATATAAAAATACTGCATTTAGCAGTTAGCTATAGCATGGTGACTGTCTCCACAATACTAAAGTAAGAATAGTATTTTGAGGAGCATGAAAGTCCAAAGTTTGGGTCATGTAGGTGACAGAATCCCAAGGAATATCTGAATTTTATTCCCCCTCGCCCCAATGAAATATGTAGCGGTAATGATTGCCAATAAGTACATTGGCTTTTAAAAATCAAAATGTTTTTATTTGCAAATCTAATAGGTTTTGCCTGTGACATTACTTTTGTGGCAGCTGCAATCTATCATTGTTCAAAAAGTTACACAGCGCAAAAAACATATCATTGAGATGTATAATGTTGGTAATCCTGCTCTGAGATGGATAAATCATGTCTTGTGCTGATGAGAGCCAAGAAATGAATTGCTTTGCTTTGACCTTGGGAGTCCGAGATTAGCCGGTTTGCCTATCAGACTTGTTTCAGTGTTCTTCGCACTTCGTTTACTCCTTCTGTTCTGAAGGGTTGGAAATAGACTCGGAGGAAGTCAGTAAAGCTTGATATCATCAGTCATTTTTGAAGAGCAGGCTATCAACATGCTCTGAATAATCAGCTTTAATAGAAGGTTTAAATAATCAGAGTGTCACGTTTAATTAATACTCTGCCTGCTGCCAATTTATATTAATTGATGCCTGAAAGTCATCACACCTTGTACCAATGATAACTTAAAAGAAGAGAAAACTGGACTGGGAAAAATGCCCAAAGACCTTTAAGGCAGTGCGATGGATCAGACTGGTTCATTAAATGGTCCACAGTCACGTTATTTTCATTCAATTCACATGTTGCTTACATTCTTAGTATATGTGTTTTATCCTTATTGGGGTGTATTAAGCTAAAGGTATTTATTAATAATGTTACATTTTTATAAGACCTGTTGCTTATAGAACATCTAAAACCATTAACCTGGTTCAAAACACAGCAAAACAAAACAATTTAAAAGTCTTGTGCAAATGTGCTACAGTGAAGTTGAATAACAGAAGATTAAAGGTTGAGTTGAAGTTGTCAATCTTGCATGTTGACATTTTAAGGGCGCAGTTTTCTAGGAAAGACGGATCTTCCTCTTTATATGTTTTGTAGCTTTCTAACTTAACAGGTGCTAGAACAGCATATGGTGTCTCAACTATATGTGTGCAGATCATAGCAACATTATATTTTGCGATTTTTTAATTACAAAGTAATGTTATCTACATTTTTAGAAAAAATACCAAGTTTCTTTTACAAATATTCAAATAATATATGTTCTTAAGACATGTAAAGTAATTGTCACAGAAAGTTACCTCACTGTAAATAAATGTATATAGAGAAATCAAGATTATTAAGCAGAATTAATTTGTAAAAGTATTTGCCAAATGAATCTCTTAAAAGTGATGTCTCCTAAGTAAGCCGATATTTAAAATTGAATTTATACCCAACTTTACAAAGATTTCTTTGGCAAAATGAGGCATCTTTTTTTAAATTTTAATTTTTTATTTATTTTTATTTTACTTTATTTTTTCCCATCACCATTTATCCCTTCTATGCCCTCTTTCACCTCTGCCCCCTCAACTCCCTCCCAGTCATCATATTGTGTCCATGTCCACGAGTTCTCTCTTTTTTTCCATTTTTGCTCAAATACTCCACCCCTCCAGCCCCCCGGCCACAAAAGCTCTCTCTTTATTAATGACAATAAGGTATTGTTAGAATTATGTTAATATGTGACAGTGTGTCTCTTTAATTGTTGAAATTATTGACACCTAAATTAAATTCATTCTGTTTGGTGGATTTTTTTCTGGAAACATAAAAAGTTTTGCAAATCCATTTTTAATTATGTTTCACAATAGGAATATAATTATACTGGTTGAGCCACTGAGGCAGGCAAAAGGTCATTATTTGGCCAGTTGTCACAGAAAATAGATGAGTCTGTGTTCAGAGAACAAGGTCATCTAGTTACTCGTCCTTGCCTTTGCTCAGTCTAAAAATTTCTCACTAATGGGACATGTGGTTGATGTACCCTGGGATCAAAATTCTTGCATTTCTCAGCTTCACATATGCATAAAAAATACATTTGGCTCAAACAGTTTGTTCATGTAAGGCCAACGTGTCAAATAAGTGGTGCAGAAATTATAGGATTGTATTATAATATTTTATCAGGCAATAATCAAAGAAGACAGATATTCATCCTTCAAGTGCTTTGTGGAAGCCATTTAGATTATTTTTTTAACTTGAAGGATTCTAACCCCATTTTGAGACAAAAATTTGAAGGTCAATGCTTTTAACTGTGCTACATCCTTTCATAGTTGTTTCTAAATTTGAAATTTAATATTATTTAAGTTTATATTCTGAGTTTAGGCTCATAAACTCGTTTTTTAGGAGCAACAATTGCAACTGATTTAATTTTACCTGTTTCTGTTCCCTTTAATTATCCACAAAATGCTTTTAAAACTCTCAGAATTAGAGGGGACCTTGGATACTGTCCAATCTAGCTTGTCACCACATGCATGGGTCTCCTCTATAGTATCTTTAAACAGATACAATTCATATACAATAAAATGAGAAACTGACTGTAAGTTCCCTGAACTGGGCTACCAATATGTTCACTTGCCGTGTATAATTAGCAACCTGCTAATTTCTATGACCATCTCAAGCTTTGAGAAATTGTGTGTTGGGTGGCATAAGTAGGGTGGGCAAATGTCATGACTGTAATAGGCACAGCACAAATGAGAAATTAAGTGACACACACCAGAGAGGTATCCTCTTATCTGAAAGGAAATACCTTCTACAATCTGAAGAAATAAGTCGGCCATCAGTACGTCTCCTGC